TTCATTACCAACGATATGACAAGTTAGTGCGGCTAAGTTTTTATTTAATTTCACTTGTGTTCTGCTAATTTCCTTCTTTGCTTGGAATAACAGTTATAAGTAAAAAATAAAATAAATCCTTGATAATGGCTAAAAGTATAACCGAAAGCCCGTGGACATACAGAACATTCGGACAATTTCTACATAATTTATGTCCGTAAAAGAATTATGAGAACACTAGAAAAATTAAATAAAAAACTTAACCGCAGTACCTTTTGATGAAATCCATATATATATATATATATATATATATATATATATATATATATATATCAGTTTAAAACGATTGACAATAATGCAAGCATTATGAATAAAGAAAGAAAAAAGCTAAAACTCAATAATATCAACTATCAATACGGCCACAGTGTTAAGGACAGTGTTTTGACAATAAAAAATTCCTACACCTCTAGTTACATACATAAAACTATTCATATATTCAGTCAAAAGTCAAATAAAATCCATCCTTGAGAATGGCTAAATGTATAGCCGAAAGCGCTTGGAAGACATTCGGACAATTTTTATATAATTTATGTCATGATAAGAAAATAATTATACAAGCACATGAGAAATTATATTATTATTATCAACCACTGCACCTTGTCAATTGCTACCCAAATACAAATATATATATATATATATATATATATATATATATATATATATATATATATATATATATATATATGAAGACAGGTTTCGTTGAATAATTTTAACATGTTCTTTTTTACTTACTCTAGAACATGTCAAAATTATTCAACGAAACTTAAAAACGAAAAAATTATGCTGCCAGAAATATACGCATATATAGATATCTATCTATCTATCTATATCTATATATATATATATATATATATATATATATATATATATATATAATAATTATTTATTTAAAATATGATTCAACACGCTACATAAGAGTTATCATGTTTCCTATTTTCTATATATTTTCACACACACACACACATATATATATATATATATATATATATATATATATATATATATATATATATATTCAACTGAAAAAAACGAGGTGCTTCTGCATGAAGTTAAGGGTGATAATGCTCAATAGAATATGAAGTACTTTTTTACTGCTGAAATGATTTCGAGAAATATGCACAAAATCTGGCGAGACATGGGATACTCATGTAAAGAACACATGAATAGATTAATCAGTTTGTTAATATTCCATTTTTTGCCAACCCTTGGCATATATATGTATATGTGTGTGTGCGCGCGCACGCGCATATGTGCGTGCGTGTATATTTTTTTTGAAACGTTATATTTAACTGATCCTGAGTAGACGTCCCCCAATTTTTTCAGTTTTCTAAAAATTAATATGTATCGATGTGTTTTTTGCTTTGTTTTTTGTTGCATTTTTTGTTTCACCTTTATTCTTCTATTTTTTCGCATGTCAGTGAATTTGCGTTTGTATGCGTGTGTGCGTATTTTTCGCGTTTCAAAGAAATTAACGTCTGTTGGCGCGGTTAATTGAACGCGGGCGATCGGTTAATAAACGTATAAATAAGTGAAAAGAATTATGTGCATGTAGGAAGTAAAACATGGTATGTGACGGGCCGAGCGGGATAATACAGCGTATACGCGTGTACTTTCACTTGAGTTAGGGAATATGCAATCGTATGCATGTGCATAGACGTTCATTCGCGCGCGCGTTTGCATGCAGCCACAATGGGCTGATTTGACTTTCATGCAGGTGGTTGAAAGGGCTGAGTGAAGTGTAGAACAACCAACGTCTTGCACTCTCGCGATTTCCGACAATAGAAACCTACGAAAATGATTAGATAGATAGATAGATAGATAGATAGATAGATAGATAGATAGATAGATAGATAGATAGATAGATGCATACATACATAGACAAAAATAGGAGAGAAAGAGAGAAAATATGTAATTAGGTAAACAAAGAAAGGAAGTCGACAAGGTAATACTTCAATTTTTCTACACGCGCATGAATATATGCATGAATACACACCCCCACACACTCAAATATATATATGAGGGGGGCGTGGATATGTACACGCAGAAGATAGATAGATAGATAGATAGATAGATAGATAGATAGATAGATAGATAGATAGATAGATATTTAGTAAAAATTAAAGAAAGAAAGAAAGAAAGAAAGAAAGAAAAAGGGAGGGAGGAATGTTTGAATTGAACAAGTATATAAAAAGAAGTTAAAGCAAAAAAATTAAATTAATGAAATGAGCTAACAAAATTTTCGTTAGCTATATATAAGACCTTCCTATATATATATATATATATATATATATATATATATATATATATATATATATATATATATATTTAGGCAACAATCCTTCCTTTATGCATATTTCATTAAAATCTATCTATCTATCTATCTATCTATCTATCTAATTCTGTTAATATCTGTCTATCTCTTTGTCTCAAAGTTCTCTTAACATGTACGTACCACACGACACACACACACACACACACACACACACACACACACACACACACACATATATATATATATATATATATATATATATATATATATACATATATATATATATATATATATATATATATATATATATATATATATATATATATATATATATATCATGTTTCATTAAAACGACAGACAAGGTACTACGGTTGAGCTTTTTATTTAATTTTTTATTGTGTTCTTACACACTCTTTGTCCAGAAAAAGAAAGCTCTTGTCAGAACACAAGAAAAATTAAATAAAAAGCTCAACTGTAGTACAACCTGTCGTGTGTGTGTGTGTGTGTGTGTGTGTGTGTGTGTGTGTGTGTGTGTGTGTGTCGTGTGGGTACGTACATGTTAAGAGAACTTTTGAGACAAGAGAGAGATAGACAGATAAAGAATTAGATAGATAGATAGATAGATAGATAGATAGATAGATAGATAGATAGATAGATATTTACTACGGAAATGGAAAGAAAGAAAGAAAGAAAGAAAGAAAGAAAGAAAGAAAGAAAGAAAGAAAGAAAGAAAGAATTATGCTCAAATAAAAAGAAACATAACGATGGTTATAAAGCATTGAACGTTTACTAGAAATATTCTTTACTCTGTCCACCCACCCCCAATGCAGATGCATTTGATGTCTGTGCTGGCTGGGGGCGGGGGTGGAAGGAGGCGAGGTGTATTTTTGTATTTCGAATTAATTGTATCAGTGCGTGCATGTGCACCGATTAAATTGAACGCGCGCGATTAGCAACAACATGCGAAAAGAACAGAAAATTACCCAAGGTCTTCGTTGGCGAACGCACACGAAACATATATGAATTCCACCCCTCACACACACACATGCACACACACACAAATACACTCACTCGTAAAAAAAACATACGCATATACACACGGTTACTCCTTCACGCGCATATATATCTGTGTGCACACACGCGTACACACATCCGTTTTTTTTTCCTTTTGCATTTTCTTTTCAACCAAAAGGGTCTTTGATGCTGCTACTACACCTGACATCATCCCTATTTTGAGACATTTCTGTAAAACCCCAGTATCGTTAATCACAATTCCACATTTTCGTAATTCGTAAAATGATTTTTTTTTTTTTAAAAGTTTGTAACTCTGGGAGAAAATCGCCTGCATACAAACAGAAAATGAATTCTGTAAATACAAAAAAAAAATGCAAATGGGCCACGTGTCTCTCGCTGAACTTATTCAACCTTTACAGTGAGGTAATCCTGAAAAAACTAAAAGTCCTACCAGGATTTATTATGTGTCGCTACAATCTTAACACATACAGATGTCTTAATAGTAAATCTAATCGTTTTATTTACATTATTCGGACTGTTATCCTTTACATTCACTTACGTGCTAATACCCTTGGGAAAGGTATGAATCCTTTTCTTCTCCTCCCCCCACCCAGCTATGGGTAAATAGCAGGACAGACCGGGTTTTATAGCCTTGGATGGCAGAAAGAAATAGCAACCCACTGCGTGAAAAAATCTGCCTCGCCAGTCATGTATCGAAAGATACCTGATCGCCTAAGCTTTTATCACGCATCCTCATCTTATTCACAATGTTTCAGCCTTTGTACGCTGTACGTTGGAATTTCCAAGCGAACCCTTTATTTTGTGCACCGGGGTAGATTGTTCTAGTTCCACGTGCCATACCTCTTCCGGGTGTCTTAGTTATTTCCCTCTAACTCAACTCTCCAGGTTTTTCGTTCATCACCGCTGTGGCCTAGTATTGAACTCGTAACTCTTTGGGTCTAACCACTGGATCTAACCAACGTCTTCATCCACTGGGCCATGTGCCTTTGTGGTCATCTGTCTATGGATTTCTGGGACTTATAAACAATCTACCCCGGTGGACGAAATAAAGAGTTCGTTTCGAAATTCTAGTCACCTAAAGAAGGCCCGAGCGTACAATGGCTGAAACGTTGTGAATATGGCAATCAAGATGAGGATAACAGTCCGAATAATATAAATAAAACAAGTAATCATAATACCTCATCTCAGAAACATAGACAGATACATCTAATCGGTTCGATAAGATCAAATTAGAAGCTGATATCAAAAATGACCTACAATCTGTTGTTAACTGGGGCAAGAAAAGGGTTGTTAATTTTAAAACGAAACTACTCTCTTTTAATCACCTGAGAGAATCTTTTCTGTCTTCTATCAGCATGGTTGATGCTAACCTTATGGAGAATGACTCATTTTTCACTGACATTAAGTGGAATGATTATATTGAATCAATTGCTAGGTCTGCTGCTAGGAAAGTTGGTTCACTGTCTCGTGCAAGACAATTTTTCTCTCTGGAATCTATCTTAGATATTTATAAGTCTAACATTTGTTCATGCATTGAATGTGGCTGCTACATCTGGTCGCGTAAGTGAATATAGCGAACCCAATGTGAATTGGAACTCGGCTCTCCGATTAACAATTCCCTGCCATTAAACATTACATGACCCTCTCATCCAAGCTTACAGCACTTGGTATTCCCAAGCGGTCACCCATCTAGGTACAGGCTCGACGTTGCTTAACGTCGGTGATCGTACGAGAACATGGTAGAAGGAATCATGTACTTTCTAGAGCGGTACAAAGAACCGTCTATTTTCACTGCATTCCAGCCTGTGTGCAGTGAGATAATAAACTCTACAAGATGTCGCTACCCAAGTGTATACCGCAGACGATCCTCACAGGAAAGCAGCACCTTCTCTTATCAACGAACACTACATAACACAGTCCAAGCTCCAGTTGACACTATTGTGATTTAAATAGAAGTCAGACCAGAGGTATTTGTGTCTGTCATCATATTCACTATCAGTCCTATGACCGCGTGTGGTCGTAGAGTCTCCGCACAACCGAGCACCTGACAAGTCTCCACTACATATCTGGGTTGAAAACCAGAGAGCTATATTTTCTTAATCGGTATCATCCCATGCAAGGCAGTAAAGCCACTAAGATACAGTGGGTTACAAGGTGTAGAAGAATTCGGAACAGAAACGTTAATAATGATGATCAGAAAGTTGAAGATTAAAGTTGGCTGGAAAACATTGATCCGGAAGAGAGTTCCACAAGCGGGAAGTACGAGAAAAGAAACTGTTAGCATAGAACTTACGGTTCCATCTCGCCAGCCCAACTGTAAATTGATGAGATCTCGACGCTAGTCTATTACTGCGCTTAAATTCATAAAGTCTAGATACCATAGCGAAGAGCTCATCCGAACAATTACCATGAAAGTATTTATAGAAAAGACACAGGGAGGCACCATTATGGCGGTGGGAAAATGACTGAAGCCGAGCTGCCAGATCAGAACCAATAATATTGCTGATTCTTCTTTGTATTTTATCAAGAAGCTCAAGGTAAAGAGCACGCTCACCGGAACATATATAATATTCTAAGTATGCGTAGTAAGTACACCTGGCAGGTTTCATCTCGCTCCAGTTTAAACGTCTGACTTGGAGGCTCGTCTGGATCACGGACGGGTTGCCGTTAATTCTATCGGAGCCCCCTCAGCAATGGTCGTTGATATCAATCTATGAAGCAACGATGCCATGTCAATCCCGCACTGGTCGAATATATTGCTATAGAGTTCAGTTTATTCTTTTGTGTTTGAACACTGTTCGCTCTACAAAAAAGTTTATCCGTTCTTTGACAAGTTTTGACTGTAATCCATATAGATGTCTAAATATCCTTCCCGACATAAAAGAGTATCCGGGTTTTGTTACTGTGTTCTTTATGTAATTGTTTTTAAAAATTAATTGATAAACAGTGGGTGCGTCTATTTTATCGCATAAACTGGACTCATTGTATATCAATTGATATATTTCCTCATAAAGATCCATTCGACGTGATGTAATGGTTAGCATGCTTGTTTCACTAGATAAATTCCGACTGAGTAGTGAATTCGATTCTGACTCGTGCTCCATACTTGCTACGCTTAGTAAATTAATTATTACTATATTTCCATATAAAACTGTCAACGATTTATATGAAGTGATGTGAAATTTATTGCCCCAACCAATAAGGAATAAGGAAAAAAACGGTTCTAATATTTAGTCATTCTGTGATTTATTTTGTCAAGTAGTTTGGGCGGAGAGCTTTTCAGTACTATCATGATATAGATAGATAGATAGATAGATAGATAGATAGATAGATAGATAGATAGATAGATAAGCATTAAGCATACCAGACTAGGGTTAATACATCTTCCGTTTCAAATTTAGTCCCAACTTTCCCTGACTTGACATCTATGAAAGTAACTCTATACTGATACTTATTATTAACACCCAACACACGCCTACCCAATTTAAACAATTCGCCCTAGCTGTTACCATGGACATTTTGATTTCAATTATTAAAACACGTAAATTTCAAAATACGTTATTCCAAAAAAAACTTCGCTTGAAGATGGAACAGAGCTTACTTTAACTCAATTTAATTCAAATAATTATATTGAAGTTTTCGGCTCTTGTTTTGAAACATGAGACCTCTTATGTCGCGAATTGGAATCATATTTTAAAACAGAAATCCGAAGTTTTAAGTCCTTGCTTACATATCAGAAATTTTTTCTTAAGTACACATGAGGCTCGATAAAAAAAAAAAGTAATTTAACCCCCACCAACGGTGCAAATAAAAAAGCGTTCCGTGGTCATTTGATAAAAAATTGCCTGAAGCTACCATAAGTATGAAGCCAAGGCAGCGGATTCAACTGACCTCCTGATTTTTAAAAGTGTATATATATATATATATATATATATATATATATATATATATATATATATATATATATATATATATATATTATTTACCCATCAATAGATAGTAGGCTACAACTTGTTTCCAAGTACCGCCTCCCATCAGCGTGGCTGGCCAAACATTATTACAGACTCCTGCATCACCATATATATATATATGGTGATGCAGAAATACCTCTCACATAATGGTAAGACATTAGCTAGATGAAGGCAACATTTCCATTAATGTCTGACCATTACGTAAGAGTTATTTGCTGGAGGTATTTCTGCCGCATTTAACATATTCACGTTTGATCAAAAACCAACAAAAATTCCGTGTTGAGTTTTTTTTCAATATTTCTAATACCATATTTGTATTTCGTTTATATCTTATCAAAGGTGCATAAATTAGAAATTGGTACCTAATGTACCCAATTCATTCATATGTCAATATATATATATATATATATATATATATATATATATATATATATATATATATATATATATAAGGTGTCTTCAAAAGTGTACTTACTTTATGCAATACTATGACTATTTGAATTTTTTTATCTTTTTTCAGATCCATGCATATAATTTAATATTTAATTTAAACTTCTGTAAAGTATTATTAGTATTTAAATAGATAAACATTAAGAGAAATTTAATGGTTTCACTTTCACAGTTACAATTATGCCTAAAGTTGCATGTAAATGATCTCCAATGCCATTTTTATTGAATTGTTTGCTCTGACCTTCTGTAAAGGATATTTAAGCAGTGAATAGGTCTATTCGGTACAACGCTGTATCGACTGAGCTTTGATATTTGACTTTTTTCCAAGTTAAATTCAACATATTGTACTGGCTTGCAAGTTATCAGAAGTCAGGAATTGTAATTGCTCTGCATTTTAAGGTTATTCCTAATTTTTCTAAATGACACTTGTGCAAAAGAAAGCAAAATAAACTCATTTGATAGTTTTTATGACCCATCAATATATATTGTTTCCAAGTACCGCCTCCCATCAGCGTGGCTGGCCAAACATTATTACAGACTCCTGTTCAACCCACAGAACTTGTTGACCATGTTCACCATAGTCTATGAATATAGAATACAGCGCAGTACGTAATCTGTTCAATGAAACAACGTTAAAGATTAACATTCACGAGTCAGACACTCTACTGAATCTGACTATATGGCCAATACCACCAGCAGCTGTTCCGTAATTCTCCAGTCTTCGATATCAAAGGCTGGCAGTGATATTTAGCCACCCGCCCCCACGAGGGTTACATGTGGCACAAGGCCGGGATTAACGTGAGATCTCCGAGCCCGTAGGTTCTGCCAAAAATATTCCTTATTCGAACGCGTATAAACGGGTTCAGGGGCAGTCAACCTCCCCGAACGAGACTCTGCCCTTCGGCGGAGCCTCCTTCGGGTTATCAAAGGCTGGCAGTGCATATTCGGGAAAAACATGACCGCCTTTATACACGTCGCATTGAATATTTTGAGCCTTCTGATTGGTTAACCCTTCTATTGGTGAACTATAAAATGAGTCAGCTCATTTTGGCTGGCTCACTAGTACACCACGGTACCCCAAAATTCCAACAGAACTCACCTGTGGTTTATAATGGAACAATACTGGGCGGACATTAGTTACAGGTTCTAGGAGAGAGCATGTGCGTGATCAGTTTTAGGAACAGTGCAAGCACGCACAAGCTCTGTGACTTACATGCAAGCACAGCCATCGACGTCTTTTGCACGGTTCTGTCTAACCAATTTCAATAACAAAGTTTCAGTCAAGCCATGGTCTGGTTTTCAAGCGACCACAACCATCGACAGCTTCTACACAGTTCCGTCTGGCCAATTTCACAAACAAAGCTTCAGTGAAGCCACGGTATGGTTTTCATGCAAGCACAACCACCGACGGCTTGTGCACTTTTCCGTCTAGCCAATTTCACAAACAAAGCTTCAGTCAACCCATGGTATGGTTTTCATACGAGCCCAACTACCGACGGCCTCTGCACGGATACAAATGACCAATTTCACAAACAAAGCTTCAGTGAAGCCATGCGAGCACTGTTACAAATTCATGACGGTCGTCCTCGAGTATAGAATCCAGAGGTTTGCAGTGAATATTTCGGAGACAGTAGGAAAGCGTAGTTCAGGTTCGCAGTGGATATCGCAGCAAAGTAGCAGAGCGTAGTTCTTCCGTCTGTCGTGTTCGCCTCACAAGTTGGCTCTGGTCATTGCGGTAGGGTAAACAAAGATGGCCGCCTTTATACACGACGGATACAATGTTATGCGGCTTCTGATTGGTCAACCTTCTATTGGTAGACTATAAAGGGAATTAAGTCATTTTGACTAACTCACTAGTTATGCATATATACACAAAAAAACTGCAACAAGAACAACCATCGATGGCTTCTGCACAGTTCCGTCTAGCCAATTTCACAAACAAATCTTCAGTCAAGCCATGGTATGGTTTTCATGCAAGCACAATCATCGACAGTTTCTGGATGGTTCCGTCTAGCCAAATACACAAAGCTTCAGTCAATGCATGGTATTGTTTTCATGCAAGAACAACCACCGACGGCTTCTGAACGTTCCGTCTAGCCAATTTCACAAACAAAGCTTCAGTCAAGCCATGGTATGGTTTTCATGCAAACACAACCACCGACAGATTGTTCCGTCTAGCCAAATACATTCACAAAGCTTTTGGTCAGCCCGTGAAATTTTTCTTAGGCACTTTCCAAATTTACCGCGCACTGTGATCATCTGCTCTGGCCGAAAACATCAGCAATTCACTAAGTTGGACTTCGAGCTTGGTTCTCA